ATTATTATATTATATTAAACAAATATATTATAATTAATATATTATATAACTATATGTAATACACTATAATATATAATAATATTAAAATTATAAGATTATATTAATATTTAATTATATTAATTATTATATTATTATTAATATAATTATATTAATATAATATAATGTAATAATATTATTAATATAACAAATATAATTATATCAATACAATATAATATATAATATATTATAAAATAATAATTACAATATCATATTATAATTATAATATCATATTATATGATAAAATAATAATATTAGAGTTATTAGTATAATTATGATATTATTTATTACAATATTACTATTACTATTATATTATATTATATTATATTACGAGTTTGAATTTTAGATTGAGAAGATTGTAAATTTTAAATTTCATTAGGAGTATTATGGGTATTATGAAAGTTTCATTAATTGTACTGTGTTGATTCCTGCACAATCTAAAAGCTAAAGTTGTCTTTAGGCTGCTTCTGATTTTGGCCGTAAATTTTTGAAAGATTCTTCAAAAAACACTTTTGAAGAGATTTACCAAACACGTGGACGTTTGGTTCATGGATTCAGAATGATGATTCAAAACCATTTTTGATTTACATGTATTTTTTATGAGAGAAAATACTATAGCAAATCACGAACTATGATTTAAATCATGGCATGAATCCACTAACCAAACGCACCATATTAACTTCTGCTACAAGTAGAAGTTAATTTTGAGAGGGAAAAGTAATACCAAACTAAGCCAAAGAAAAAGTATAATACATTGTACTATGTGGGCAAATTTTGAGTGTACGTGCAATATAACAATTGTTTTTTGAAATATTTTGATCATATTTATATTACTACAAAATGACATTGTAATTATTTTAATGATATTAATTTTTTCTATTTAGTATATCTCCCTAAAAAAGTTACACTACATGACAAATTTATGAGAGCGTGCTTGAAATATAAAAATTTCGTTGAAATTTTTTAAAAATAGCAAAAACTACATATATAGTAGTTATTTTAATAATATTCGTTTTTTTTACTACAAAATAACAAAGTAATTATTTTAATAATATAGTTTTATTATTTGTAAAATATTCTTTTTTTTTGTTTGCTATATTTCAACATGATTAGTAAAATTTTGCTATATTTTTAATATTCTGCATCACAAAACAAAGCAAGTTGTTCATTAAAGAGTAACTGACTCTATATATGTGTACGTAAATACATTCGTAGTATATCCAAATGTATATGTGTATAACGAATAGAAGGTAGCAAGTTTTAAGAATACAAAAAACCTATAAGCTGTTTAAACCTTGACTGGTTGAAGAAAACTACAAAAATTTAAAAGTAGAACATTCCTCAATAAAGGAACTAAGTTTTATAAATTTACATAAGATTAGATTTAAAAATCTTCTACTACATATGCTTGTTATAACGTCGAATATTAGACACGTGCTTGCACGTAGTAATAGCTATTAAGAAACTGATCATATACAATTTTCCAAACCTATTTCAGCTGAGAAAAATAAAAAAGAAAACCCAAACAAACAAACTCCATCCAACCTTTAAGGGAGAAATGAGCAGTGATCTCCTTCTTTTCTCTTCTTCCTCTCTTTCCTCTACGTCTCAGAAACTCTTCCTTCTAGTCTTTTTATTTTGATTTTTTTTCTAATTCTTTTTCCATCTTCTTATAGCCTTCTTGTCGTCATTATTGTGTACTTACTCGATACCCCACTTTCTGTTCTAAAACGTCATTATTGGCATTAATAATACATAATTTTAATAAATCGTTATGTTTTCATCAAAAGAGCCATCTGTTTCTAAAATGGTACTGATATAATTCAATGATGTCAATATCGTGGATAGTGATGGAACTTTGGGCCGGCGGGCAGGCCCGCTGTCTGAATTTTTTAGGCTCGGCGGGCAGGCCTATCTGCCGGCCCAACCAAAGTGAAAATTCGGGCTCGGGCTCAGGCAGCCCAAATTTGGGCACCTCGCCGGAGGCCGCCGCCGTGTAGGAGCCGTCAACCTTCGGAGTTTTTTTTGAATTTTTCCGGCCAAACCCGATTTACCCGAATGCCCAACCCGCCCGACTGCCCGAAAATCATGAAAAGGGTCAAAAATACGGCCGGTGCTGCCCGACCCGAATTTTGCCCGAATACCCAAATTTTGCCCGAATACCTGAGATGCCCGAACTGCCCGAATGCCCAAAAACCCGTCCAACGGCTAGTTTTTTGCCCGAACTCGCCCGAACCCACCAAAACCCGCCGAACCCTAAACTAGCCGTTGCACCCTGAATTTTTTGAAAAAAAAATTAATTTTTTAACCCAAAAATTTCCCTATAAATACTCCCAATCCCCCACACATTTTTCTCACTCAAACTCTTTCAATCCCTCTCAATTTCTCTCAATCTCTCTCACTCTCAATTCTCTATTACAATTTTTCTAAAAACTATCACATTATCCTAAAGCTCTCTCTCTCTCAAATCGCTATTACTTTTTTTATAATTGATCTTTTTTGTTATAGTGGTATTCCCATTGATGCCCAACACAACGTGAAAGAAGGGCAATTTCTCACTAATGAATTTGTTACGCAAGAATCTACTAATCCGAGCTCTAGAGGACGTACTGGAGGTCGTGATCGTAATGGTGATGGGCGTGGAGAAACGGCGAGTACCAGTGCGACTGCGTATGTAAATGTTGCAACCTCTAGGAGAAAATGCAAGTGCACCTCGACAGTTGGGGATCACTTCGACATAATTGAGGAGATAGACAATGAAGGTAACACTAAACATATAGCTCAGTGTAAATATTGTTTATCTAAATTACAAGGTGACACTATTCACGGAACCACACATTTGATAAGACACTCTGAAAAGTGTCTTCAAAAGCTTAGCCAATCCGGCGGACCCGAACTCCGCCAAACACAATTATCTTTTGATCGCACAACCGGTGGTCTAATCACTTGGAAATACGATCCGCAAGTAGATCGTATGGAAGTTGCACGAATGATAGCTGCTTTAGATCAACCACTTAGTTTTGTAGAGCATCCTAATTGGTAACAATATATTAAGGTCGCACATAATCCTAATGCATAGTTTACTTCAAAAACTACTCTTAGAAAAGATTTATTAAAATTATTTAAAAAAGAAAAAGAAGCATTAATAAACCTTTTACACTCGACTAGCGGGTGCGTTGCGTTAACGACAGATATTTGGTCTGCCGTTGCCAATAAAGATTATTTAGCTATAACCGGACATTACTTTAAAAGATTTGATTTAGATAAGAGAATATTAGGTTTTAAATGTTTTCTATGATCACATAGTGCGGATTTAATATATAATACCATTTTAAATGTAATTGATGAATTTAGATTAAAAGATAAAGTAATGGCTATAACATTAGATAATGCTAGTGCCAATACAAAAGCAAGTGAGTTCTTTGAAAATGATTTAAGTTTATTCGGGGACGGTACTATTTTTCACCTATCTTGTGCATGTCACGTAATTAATTTAATTGTTAAATCCAGTTTAAAAGAAATGGGTAATCACATTAAAAGAATTAGAGATAGTCTTGCATGGATTCAAGGTAGTAACCAAAGCCAAGAAGATTGGTTTAGGTTCTTACAAGCATTAAATATACCTCCTAGAGCATTAGTGTTAGATATGCCTATAAGATAGAACTCAACTTACATAATGCTTCAACAATGCATCCCCTATAAGGATGCTATAACAAACTATATGTGTGCAAAAGTAGGAGTAGGACATATAGACGCATATGATTGGTAAATTGCCGAAATTTTGTATCAATTTTTAGGTAGGTTTCATGAAGTGACTCTAAAACTTAGTGGAACATATTACCCAACATTACCTTTAGTTTTAGGAGAACTTTTACGAATTAATATTTTATTTAACGAATATAGAGATGACCCAATCTTAGTAGTTCCTATCCATTTTATGGGAAAAAAAATTTATAAAATATTGGTCTAAGTTGTCTTTGTTTTATGATTTAGGTATTATTTTTTATCCTAGATTAAAATTAGAAGGTTTAGAAAGTGGTTTAGAAAACTTAGGTCAATTTTTAGGCATCAATTGTAAGGACGAATATCCAATAATAAAGGAAAAAATATATTCGATCTATAGTAAATATGAGATTATGTTTAGAGTACCTCATAGAATACAGGAACCGCAACAACAAGACGAAAACCCACATTCATTCTTGAATGTTTTCGGGTTGAAGAAGAAGAAGACAACTCAAACAAAAACTGGGAGTGAATCTTCGTCAACAAGTAGCAGTGGCAGCGGCGGCAGCAGCTTTAACGAGCTTATGACGTACCTCAGTGAATGCTTAGTAGTCCACGGTATGGCATAATCGTTTGACTTAGTTCAATGGTGGAGGGCACGGGCATTAACTTGGCCAATCCTAACTCGATTGGCAATGGATATATTTTTTATCTCAGTCTCCACTATTTCATCCGAACAAGCCTTCAATATGACAAGATTAATACTTGAGGAACACCGGAATGCATTGAAAAGGGTTATTGTTGAAGCCTGAGTTTGCATTAAGGATTGGGATCGGGCCGATCGACGTCTACAGGATACAATTTCGTCGGCAAGCCAAGAATAGATTGATGAATTTAATCGATTAACATTTAATTTTGAAGACGATCCTTCAGCTTCAAATTAAATTGTAAATTTGTAATTTGTAAATATGTATTTACTTTTGACATTGTATTTGTATTTGTATAACTTTGTAAGTTTGTAAAATTTGTAATTCGTCACAAAATGATTGCACTCTTTTTTCCTTGCCAAGTTTTTTCCCAATTAGGTTTTTCTTAGTAAAGTTTTTAATGTGGCAATCATGAATTACAAATTTAGTATACATCAATAATATATATGATTAACTTATTCAATTGTGTTATATATCATGCGATTGAAACATGATTATATTTGTTAAATTTTAAAAATCATTCGTCAATTTCATTGTTAATGATTAACACTGTTAAAGAATAAAAGTTTATGGACTAATATGCTAAATTAAAAATTCAAGATCAAAATGTTACTATATTCAAAGTTTAGGGATTAAGAATGTCAATTACCTTATTATTTATTTGGACAGTTCTATGGTGGAGGAGCTTAAATTTTCCCGCCAATATATAAGATAGTATGTTTGTTTTACAATCATAACTTGAACGGTGTATGTGAGAAAAAAATATTATAATAAAAAATTTTAATTTAAATTTTTTTAAAAAAAATAATATAATAATAAAATTTGAGTCGTAAAATGAACAAAAGTGCAGTAAAAAAAAAGACTACTAAAGAAAAATAAAACCTCCCACCCACGACCATACAACATTTATTTAAAAAAAAGAAAAAAAAAAACATGAAGTTATATTTCTTCCCTTCTCCACCATTGGACCAAAACCATCCCTCGCCGTAGAATCATCCACGAGAAGATCTCCCTAGTCTCTTTGTCATCTTCGAACTGCTCCGCCGCGACCCTTCTGCCTCCCCACTCTCCGTGTCGCGATTTCGTGGATCTTCTTTACAATTTTGTCGTCGATTAGCTCCTCCACCACCGTGAAATCTCAGGCACCGCAATGGAAGACTGCCCTTGCAATTCTTCTCTACCAAAGTGTTGCCAGAGTTGAAGAAGAACAACAATATTGGTGCTCGTTTATTTGATCCTCCAAGTGCTGAGATTTATCTTCAACGGAGAAGATCAAATTTTTGTTTTTTGGATTGTCTCACGAGTTATGTGAAATCTCTTTGGATTGCTTGGATTGCTTGGATTTTTTGTAATATGTCTTATGAAGATCATATGTACAACGGGAGAATTTTGTAATTTTTGTGAATTGTTTGTGTTGACGGTGTTTTTTCGACAACTCATAATTACCTCTCCAAAAACACTCACGGTTCAATCAAAGATAAAAACTGAAAAATTATGTAAAGGAGACAACAATTTTATAGTGGTTCGGCAATAATTTTTTGCCTAATCCACTTGTGCATGCACTAATATTTTAGCCGGTTACCGGCTCTCTCCCCTCTAATAATGAAAATGGCGTCTAACCCCCTCTCTCGATTTTCTTGGCTCTATTTATAGGCCTTTACATGTGAATACGTATTCCTCGTTCCCAAGGAAGAAGCCATCTTCTTCCCTCGATCCGCATGAGGGTAGGTGGGTTTTCATGATGACTGCTCCGGGAAACGCGGCTGATCCTTCCTATCTGCCGTCTGATTTCCTGACTCCTGCAGTAGCAGTCGGATCAATACTTCTCTCTTCGAGTTGACAAGATCGTGGTTGGATTTGACTGGACTGCTTCCGGTCTGATCTAATTCCTGACTCCTTGACACAAAGGCTTCAAAGGGCCTTTAGTAGACTTCAACGACGCAAAGGCCTTAAGAGGACCTTAAGCACTTCTCGACTCCAACACCTTGACTCCTCGACGCAGAGGCTTCAAAGGGCTTTTAGTGTACTTCTCGACTTCAACAACGCAAAGGCCTTGAGAGGACCTTAAGCACTTCTCGACTCCAACACCTTGACTCCTCGACGCAGAGGCTTCAAAGGGCTTTTAGTAGACTTCTCGACTTCAACGACGCAAAGGCCTTGAGAGGACCTTAAGCACTTCTCGACTCCAAGTG